TATACAATTCAGAGGGGAATCAGGTATCTGATATTATAGCTGATAGTTGGGATGAAATAATGTTGAATTCTTAAATCTAGTAGAATTATAAAGTCTGAATTTTAGACATAATATAGTCAAATGAAGTCCGATTTTTAGACATAATATTGAAGTCTGAATTTTAGACATAATATCGGCTATATTGTGTCTAAAAATCAAACTTCATTCAACTATATTAAGTCTAAAATTCGGATTTTATTAAATCCAGTAGAATTATTAAGTCTGAATTTTGTACATAATATAGTTTAATAAAGTTCAATTTTTAGACATAATATTGAAGTTCACATAATATCAGCTATATTGTGTCTAAAAATTAGACTTCATTAAGTCTAAAATTCAGATTTTATTAAATCCAGTAGAATTATTAAGTCTGAATTTTATACATAATATAGTCGAATAAAGTTCGAATTTTAGACATAATATCGGCTATATTGTGTCTAAAAATCAAACTTCATTCAACTATATCATGTATAAAATCAGATTTAATAATTCTACTAGATTTAATAAAATCCGAATTTTAGACTTAATGAAGTCTGATTTTTAGACACAATATAGCCGATATTATGCCTAAAATTCGGACTTTATATAGCTTAAAATAAGATCCGATTTTAGATACACTAGTTGAAATAAAGCCTATCAGGCATTTTTTTAGCCCCGATATTGCACTGATTAATAGCTTGAATCGTGTTATTTTCGGTTTATATCAGAGCTAATAGAGCTATCAGTTAAATATCAGAAATCTGATAACTTTTATAATTTTATTAATAGCTATATCAGTTCCGATATGAACCTAGAAATGACACGATTTGAGCCATTGATCAGTGCCATATCAGGACCAAAAAAAGCTATGATACTTGTCTGATATGCTTTATTTTAATCAGTAATAATTTTAATAATAATTAAATTTTGTAGATTTTTAGCTTATATAATTTTTTTGATTTATTAAAATAAATGCATAAAACTGTAATTTTTTATTATCATTTAAAAAATTGAACCATTATGAATTACCAGTTCTACATATCATAAATTTGATAATTACAACCCTTCATAAGCTACTGTAAAAATTTTGCTACAGAGCTTCCATTGAAACTATTGTGATTTCTGAAAATTCATTTGCAAAACTTATTCACTATTCCGGTAATATTTGAGTTACTGTAAAAAATTCTATTCTAAAACCTGTTCGCTTTCTGATGACGCACAGTGTGCAGTTAGGATTGAGTTATTTTCTATTAGAATTATCATGATATATATTGTGATTTGCTATAAAAATTTTGGTATAGTACCTACTCGCTATTCGGTGACGCAGTATGTTGTTAAGCTTGAGTTGGTTCACATTGGAATTGCTGTGAATTACTAAAAAGACTTATTATAAAACTTATCAGTACACATGGTGTGTATGGTTAAAATTAAGTAAATCTGCATTGGAATCATCATGATTACTGTAAAAATTAGCAAATCTTATTCGCTATTCCGGTAATATTTGAGTTACTATAAACAATTCTATTCTAGAACCTGTTCGCTTTCCGATGATACACAATATGCAGTTAGGGTTGAGTTATTTTCTATTAGAATTATTGTGATATATATTGTGATTTGCTATAAAAATTTTGGTATAGTACCTACTCACTATTCGGTGATACAGTATGTTGTTAAGCTTGAGTTGGTTCACATTGGAATTGCTGTGAGTTACTGAAAAGACTTATTATAAAACTTACCAGTACACACGGTGTGTATGGTTAAAGTTAAGTTAATCTGCATATCATGATTACTGTAAAAATTAGCAAACCTTATTCGCTATTCTGGTAATATTTGAGTTACTTTAAAAAATTCTATTCTAGAACCTGTTTGCTTTCCGATGACACACAGTGTGCAGTTAGAATTAAGTTATTTTCTATTAGAATTATCATGATATATATTGTGATTTGCTATAAAAATTTTGGTATAGTACCTACTCGCTATTCGGTGACACAGTATGTTGTTAAGCTTGAGTTGGTTCACATTGAAATTGCCGTGAGTTACTGAAAAGACTTATTATAAAACTTACCGGTATACATGGTGTGTATGGTTAAACTGCATTGGAATCATTATGATTACTGTAAAAATTAGCAAACCTTATTCGCTATTTTGGTAATATTTGAGTTACTTTAAACAATTCTATTCTAGAACCTGTTCGCTTTCCAATGATGCACAATGTGCAGTTAGGGTTGAGTTATTTTCTATTAGAATTATCGTGATATATATTGTGATTTGCTATAAAAATTTTGGTATAGTATCTACTTGCTATTCGGTAACACGGTATGTTGTTAAGCTTGAGTTGGTTCATATTGGAATTGCCGTGAGTTACTGAAAAGACTTATTATAAAACTTATCGATACACACGGTGTGTATAGTTAAAGTTTAGTTAATCTGCATTGAAATCATCATGATTACTGTAAAAATTAGCAAACCTTATTCGCTATTCCGGTAATATTTGAGTTACTTTAAAAAATTCTATTCTAGAACCTGTTTGCTTTCCGATGACATACAATGTGCAGTTAGGGTTGAGTTATTTTCTATTAGAATTATCATGATATATATTGTAATTTGCTATAAAAATTTTGGTATAGTATCTACTTGCTATTCGGTGATATAGTATGTTGTTAAGCTTATTGAAAAAATTTGTTATAGAACTTACCGGTATACACGGTGTGTATGGTTGAAGTTGAGTTAATCTGCATTGGAATCATCATGATTACTGTAAAAATTATGTTTCATTAATTTACAAGAAATTCAAATGTTAAGAAACCTACTTGCGGTAATACACTGTAAGTATTAAGGGTAAATTAGGTTGAAGATGCCGAAAGACTCACAATGATGACTCCGGAAACAACAAAAACTCACTGACAACGACAGAATCGCACCAAAGACGGCTCCAATAATAACGACAACTCCAAACGACGTTAAAAAAAATCAAAACCAAAGTCAGTAAGATAAACAAACCCTGGTAAATGGAAATACCCCTAGCCAAAGGCAAGCAAAAAAAAAAAAAGTCAAAATAAAGCAACCAGTTTTATTTGTTTTGTATTTATAGTTACAATGCAGCAATGATTTGCTAATATTAATAATATATATATAACTTATTTTTGTTTCTTTTTAGATTTTTCATTTGGAGAGGTAATAGCCCGTTTTTTATTTTTTTTCTTTTTATTTATTTCTTCTTTTCCCCCCTCATCTTCCTCCTCTCCTTTCCCTCTCTTCTCTCCTTCCTCTTTCTCCTCTTGTTCCTCTCATTTTTCCTCTTGTTTCTCTCATTGTTCCTCTTGTTCTTCTTCTTCCTCATTAACTATTGCCCACTTTGGAAAATCTTCAGGTGGTGGTTCAGTTAACATAAAAGATGTACATCGTCAGAACCATGGTGGTGTCAAATACATCATGAAATAATTCACATAACTATGTTTTTAATGTACTAAGTTTGAACATAATACTGTAATATCAGATATATATTTACAAACATTAAAAATTCGATACCTCCTGTGATCTCCATGACAAGTCGCATATATTAACGTATATATTTCCTTCATCATCTATTTCGTTATCTGTGTCAGATAATTCAGGCGAATGGGCATCGGAAGTTCCTAAGATTTCTCTCATTTTATCCAAATCGTATGACATAATATGACTGTCTTTTTTTGAACGCAGATGTTTATATGCCGATGCTCGACGAGTCATTTTCTACAAAAAGTATTAAAAAATATATAAATAAATAAACTAAATAATATAACTAGTCAAATGCTAGCCCTAATTCTATGAAATTCATCACATTTTACTGATACCTAAAAGCCTATTTAACTGATATCACTGCTTCGTGAATAAGACCCGGGATTATAACTAATGATTTACTACTTTTAATAATATATCTCCCAGATATAATACCCGGTTCTTCACACAGTACCCATAGGCACTATTTAATTTTAAAATGAAATTCTTGAATAAGACCCAGGTACTGTAAGCAGTGGCATATGGTAATATATGTATACAACTAATTATAACTCTATGCAATGTTGATAAAAAATAAGATCAACTCATCCTAATGACTGTTGAAATGAGCAGCGCTGAATAAAATTCTTACTTCGGCTCGACGTGTGTTTTTGTGAATTCTTTTGTCTAAGTGATCAGACCAGACCGGATCTGCTCAGACAGATTGAAGATTCCTTTTTGATTTTAGTTGTTGCTATAATATATCTGATATCTCATTTCTGTTGGTATTATATTGCTGTTCAAAAACTTCAAGAAGCACAGGAATAGTATTTTTTGCTAGTCAAACTTTTTGGTTGGCCCAAGTAGAATTGCGATCTAAACCATAATCATTGCTCCTTTCATCTAGTAAAATAAAAATCTCTCTCTACAACAATAATATAAAAAAAATTTTTTGCAATTAATTATTGCATATATATATACCCATTGAAATCGGATCTGTCTTACTTCACTTTACCAATCACTTAGCCGATATCATGCAACTAATAAAATGCTAACTCTAATCCTATGTGATGTCGTCTAAGTGAACTTTTGGTAAAATGATTGTTGGTGAAGATTGAAATCATCATGATTCAGAAGCAGGCTGCCTCAAACAAGAATTTTTGTAACGAGGGTTAGTTAGGATTAAGTTTAGAATATAAAAACTTAAGTTGTATAAGGGAAGTATCAGATATCAGCTAATATCGTGGGGTAGACAAATCTCAATCTAGTATGTATAACCAATCAGAATGACTAAAGTTCTCAGGAGTGAGCTCTATAGTAAACTGATTTCAGCTAATATCTGACACATCCCTAATGATAATAAATTACAATATTCTTAATTCGGGAAGATTTCAATCAGGGGTACATGCAAAGAAAAATTATAAATTAATCTAAAATCTTCTATATATAAATTACAGAATAAATTAATTTATAGATTTTTTGATAATTATTATTAATATTAATAAAATACTCGAAGTGCATTTTTTCGTTCTCTTTCAATTTTAAATTGTCTTTGTTGCACAGCTGCTGAGGTTTCACCAACTTCTAATTCTCTTTGACTTCCAGCTCGACTTAATGAGTCAATTTTACTATTTAAAGATTCTAATGAAGATAATAGATCATTTAAAGTATTTTCTATAGTCGAAATAGAGTGTTCTTGCTGTCTTTGAACTGCAAGAATTTCGTCGATATTCCTCCAACTTTGTTGATTTTCTAAAAATAAAATATTATTATATTACAAATAGTTTTAGTCTAAAAAAGAATATATATATGATCTGTAACATTTTTTTTTAAAAAAAAACTTAGTAAATACTATGCTCTCTGCTTAAGCTTAGGGGTGGAAGAGAATTGACAGATCTAGTTTGTGTAAAAGAAGTTGGTTGATGTCTGGCAGATTGAGAAGAAATATTGACGGATCTGGGTTGTGCAACAGAAGTTGCAGATCGAGAAGAAATATCATGTTCCTCGTCTGAACTTAGAAGTGAAAGGAATCTAACAGATGTTAGAGTTGGTTTAGTTTTGATTATTTTCCTGTCTGAAATGTCGACGGATCTGGGTTGTGCAACAGAGGTTGCAGATCGAGAAGAAATATCATGTTCCTTGTCTGAACTTAGAAGTGAAAGGGATCTAACAGATGTTGGAGTTGGTTTAGTTTTGATTACTTTTTTGTCTGAACTTAGAGGTGAAAGAGAGTTGACTGCAGCTTTTTTGAGAGATGAAAAGTTGACTGCAGCTTTTTTGGGAGGTGATAGAGTTGATAGCAGCTTTTTTGGGAGATGAAAAAGAGTTGACGGCGGCTTTTTTGGGAGGTGAAATAGAGTTGATGGTGGCTTTTTTGGTTTTGGCCATTTTTCTGTCTGAGGTTGATGATGTTTTGCAGATTGGGAAGAAATAACTTTTTTGGTTTTAGCCTTTTTTTTTTTTAAAAAAAAAGAGAAAAATAAAGAATTTCTTACTATTTATATTTATCACTGTTTTCGAATGGTTGAAATAGTAAAACAATTTTTTGTAAATACCATGAATGTTGATTATTATCATTGTTCTGAACTAATCGAGTATTCGAGTATTTCTAGTATCTAAAATAGTATGAAAACAATCAATCTAAATTTGGTAAATTTTATTCCTGGCTTGGTATTTGCTTTTGTTGTCATAATTGACACTACAATGATCAAATAATTTCAGTTATGAGGGTAAATACTATACTATATATTATTCGAAAAGCATAGGTACGACTAGTCAAATGATTGGAAGAATGCTGGCTAGCAAAAGGTGCCAGAAATAAATTCAATTAAATTCAAATAAAGGACTTGAAGTCCGCAGAATACAATATGAGTAATTTGGCTAAGTAATTCGAACTGAAACGATGATATGCTCCTAGAAAATTAGCAAGTAAGATTGTGCCAGGTATCATCATAACAGTAGAACGAGCGAGAGGCAGCATCAGCCGGTGGTTTTCCGCCTGCTTGAAGCAGGCCGGCTGTTAAATAGGAAAATGGCAGAATCAGGAGACTGTTCCAACCATAAGTGTGGTAGGAGAGGTTGGGTCGAGAAAAATTTTGTCGCCAAAGACTATTTTGTTGAAAGAGAAAGAGAATGTTGAAAGCAATTCTTCGTCGTCAATTCCTTATATATTGATTGATTGACTCTGATCAGTAGCTTTTCTTTTACGTATTTTTGACAGTGTATAATTTATGCAATTTCGCTTAATTGATCGATTCTTAATCCCCATGCCTCCTGACCTGTGACCATGACCAGATCTTTCCCTTTCTTTTCGATCTGTTGACTCTTGTCAACCTGCAAGAGACAATAAATAAATATATATGATTTTTAACATCTGTGTATTAAAATAGACATTTAATATAATAGTATTTTATTCTCTAGTTGGTATTTTACTTTTTTTCATTAATTTTGGGACAGCAGGTAAAAAATTGATAAGTTTTTGATTCGGCAGTGATAAACTTTTGATTTGAACGTGATTAGTAATTAGGATTGTTAACTTACATGTAAATTACCATAACTTTAGATTACATTGTCAAGTAAGTTTTAACAACCTTATTAGTAATATATCAAAAATGATATATATTTTTTGCGAATGTATTCTGAACGATACTACACATTCAAAATTAATTTTTTGCTTGAATGTATGCCCAGCACGTTTGGTGCATTTAGTCTGTACAAGATTGTTCTTGTCAACTAATAGATCCTAACAAAAAACATAAAAATATATTATATAAAGAGGCACTATAAAAAAAAAGTTCAATATGAACAAGAATTTATTAACTGAACTAAAGAAAATATAAATTATAATTCCAAACAACCAAGTTTTTATTAAAATTGACAAAATCATAGTAAAAATTATTTTTTAATTATATATGTAATATAAGTATAATGAATTTTTAAAATATAAACCAAATAAAAATATTGTCTAACAACTAAGGAACCTTTAGCTTGTTTATCTATAGTAAACATTTTAAAATGCTTGTTAGAAGTAACTACTGTTGAATCTGCAATATCCAATTTTGTCTAAAGTAAAAGTAACTGAATCTAATATAACATCAAACAATCATTTGGTCAATTTTTTATCAGATGTCCCAAAATTAAAGAAAAACAGTTGTAAAAGTGAAAAGTACTCGGGATCGATGCCAAGGTAAATCGAATCTGATAAACTTGCCATATGAAAGACTTGGTTGATCGGTTTAAAGTAATGAAAAGATCACGTGAGAAAAGTATACTGAATTTTTTTTATATTATAACTAAACTGCTGGATAACTATGAGATTTTTTTTTTTTTATTTACGATAGTTACAGAACTATTAAAAGGGGCTTTTTTAAAAATTAGAAAACTATGGAAAAACTACGTATATACAATTATTTTCTTTACTAATTTGGCTAATATATTGAAAATTTGGGTTTAATATCCTATTCAAGTTTATTTATCGATAGTTATGCATGCAGTTTAAAATAATACCATTGTATATGAAACTAGTTACACATAAATATCATTGTATATATATGTCAAATAATATGTATATTAATCAATTAATTATATGATATATAAATAAAGATTAAAATTTTGTTTAAAAATAATTTACAATAGCGTGCTCTAAATTTATTCACAATGCCACAAAGCCATAATTTTAAAGAAATTTTAGATTCTATTCCAGATTCGAATTCAGAAATGTAAATCCAACAACTCCTACATCAACCCAACGAAATAGTTATGTTTCTTGTTATTGTTCAACATATTTATGTAACGGTAACCTAGTTTCTCAACATGTAAAATCTCGACATGAATCAGAAAATAGAAGATGACAAGCTAACATAGAAAATAGCATAGAACCAGATAGCATAGAAACAGATATGGTTATAAGCGAATATAAAAATATGGCTATAGATGGAAGAAATGAAGTTATGGTTATAGAAGAAGAGTTAGGCGGACTAAATTCAAGTAATCAATCAATTTCAGAAGATATTGAAGAAAATATAGAGCCATCATTTTTACTAAGGAAGAAACGTCGTATGTATTCAAATTTTCAATTAAACTTAGATTTGACAAGTGATGAAGAAGAGTTTGAAGAAATAGATGAAGAATTAAACAATAATTTAGTTAAGCGATTCAATGAAGAATCAGGCGAAGAAGCTGAAGAATTAGCTGAAGAAATAGAAGAATCAACAAAAGAGTCAGATAATGAATGGCATGATGAAGAGTTAGATGAACGATTAGCAAAGGAAAAAATTTATAGTGATAGTAATGAATTTGAAGACTATTCTGCACCAAATATTGATGATAATGATCAGACTGGATTTAAACCTAACTTTAATCCACCTTTAGAATATGAATAGATTCTACTTTGGTTGCTAAAGTTTCAATCTAGATTCAATTTATCCGAAGCTGCTATTGATACTTTAATTAAATTTATTTATCTAATATTAGTTGAAATAGGTGGTGAAAATCAATTTAGCCACTATCCAAACTCAATTTATATGGTTCAAAAATATTTTAATATTAGTAAAAACTTTATGAAATACGTTACATGTCCAAATTGCATTAAATTATATATAAAGGATGATGTGGTTGGCTCACAAAATATTAAAGGGCAACTAGAAATTAAAAAATGTAATCGTATCGAATTTTCGAATGTGATTGGCACTCGACAAAAAAAAACATGCAATTCTGCTCTAGCGGTTCAAAAAAAATATTTAAATAAAATTAAAAATAAGGTGATTTCATTTTTTCCAGTCTTTAGTATTAAAAGTTATTTATTAAAAATGTATAAATGGCCAGACTTTGAAAAAGCATACCATAAATGAACACGTCGAACTATAAAGGATGGTGTTATTTCTGATATCTACGATGGTCGAGTTTGGAAAGAATTTGAAGACAAGCCATCAAATAGTGGCCAATTTTTTACACATAAAATGGCGGATTCACATCTTGGTCTTATGTTAAATTTAGACTAGTTTCAACCTTTTGCTAATACACAGTATAGTATTGGCGTTATTTATGCAACAATTTGCAATTTACCAAGAGAAGACAGGTTTAAAGTTAAAAATGTAATGATTCTTGGTATTTTACCTAGACCAAATGAGGTTCATTTGCATTATATAAATCATTTCCTTGCACCGATAGTTAATGAATTATGCCAACTTTGGGATGGAATACAAATATCGACTTATGAGTATCCTTTAGAAAAAACAGTTTGAGCTGCTGTAATCTCATATTCTTGTGATATACCTGCAAGTCAAAAATTATGTGGTTATATTTCAGCTTTAGTGGCTTGTCATCGTTGTGAAAAACGTTCTCAATATAAAAATCAGCATCATCATTTTGGAGGTAGTAATAATATGGGTTCATGGTTTATTCAGCAAAATTCTATTAAACATAGACGTGATGCAGAAAAGTGGAGAAAGTGTTATACGAAGTCAGGTAGAAAGCAGCATGCAAAACTGACACAGGTTCGATGGTCTGAGTTACTTCAACTACCTTATTTTGACCCTGTTCAATTTATAGTTGTTGATCCAATACATTGCATATTTTTAAACATTGGAAAATTGTTCGTAAACCGATTATTGGTTAATGGTGGTCGATTAAATACTCAAACCCTTAAGTTGGTTTAAAAGAAAATGTTGGAAATTCAAGTACTATCCGATATTGGACTATTCCAAAAAAAGTTGACAGTGGTGAAGGATTTGCATGTTTTACAGCCGATGAATGGAAAAACTTTATATTAATTTATTCGATATCTTGTTTATGGGACCATCTTTCAGAAGTGGATCGGAGAATTCTTACTAATCTTGTACGAATCTGTACCATTCTTGTATATCGAATTATTAATGTTGCCACATTAAATGAGGCACATGATCAACTTGTTCTTCTTGTAAAGCAAATAGAAGATGAATATGGTGAGGAAAATATTACACCAAACCTTCATCTGGCACTTCATATTAGCGAATGTTGCTTCGATTATGGTCCACTTTATGCATTCTAGTGCTTCTCTTTTGAACGAATGAATGGTTATCTTGGGTCTTTGCCAAATAGCTACCGCAAAATTGAGCAAGAATTAATGTGCCGATTTATGCAAGATTTTATAGTTAATGATCTTATTAATTAAAAAAATTTTCAACAAGGATTTGATTTTTTTCAAAATCAAAAAACAGTTGGAAGTTTAGCTTTATCAGATGAATTTGAATTTGCAGAATTATATAGGTTCCTTCAAATGTCACGAAATGTTGAATTAAATTCTGTTAGTGGCTCGGAAGATTTTTCTGGTAAATTCTTGAATCCTTCAAAGACAAACATATTATTACCAGATGATTTTCTAAAAATTTAGCAGAATATTATTTAGCCACCTATCCTGATTAGCATTCATTTAAAATACCATTTCAAGAAAGTCAAGAGAAATCAGAAACAATTTATCCATTCAGGGACCAATTTGGTCATTTACAAATTGGTTCTGAAATATTTGGATCAACTATGTCAATGCGACATATAAAAAGTTCTTTTATAATGGCGAATTTTATTAATCAGGATAATAGTTCAGATACTTATACAGAACAAATTCAATTCTTTATTCGGCATACAACTAAAATTGGCGTTAATGATATTGAGCATAAGTTAGCATATGTACGTTGGTACAAGCCAGTATTAAGTAACTCATTATAATTCTTATTTGGTATAGATGAGGAAGATAAAAGATTGTGTAATATTGAATTATGGGAAAAAATTTTCTATCCTATTAAGCGTGATTGTATAATTCCTATTCATCAAATTTTAAACTGATTTGTGCTAGCATTTTACAAAACAGCACAAAGAAAAAATTCTAAAGAATATCTTGCTGTTATACCAATTAATAGAAAGTTCTATTTATAATTTTATGTATGTAATATATATTTAATAAACCTTGTACGTAACGTTTATGTAATAGTAATCACCTGACACATATAGTAACTGCTAATTTGTGGTTACACAATATAAATAACTATCTTTATTAAAAATGAGGATCACTTATTCTTTTATCCTCTCCTGGAACAAAAAAAAGAAAAATAATCTCAAATTTATAGCAATTCAAATTTATCATGTGTAGAAATAAATAAAGAATGAAAAAATATTTACCACGCCTGTAATATTGAAAATATCAAAGAAATCAGACAACAGTCAATGACTCTATTCACAAAAGATGCACTAAACTCCAAAAGATTTATATAAAGCCACCAATAATTACTTTGTTTAAGAATAAAGGCTAAGTTTCTACATGATTTCATATGCTTTTACACACCTTTATTATTTTTATCACTTATTGAAAATTTCTTTGGATTAATAGAGTTACTGCCACAGTCATTACAATGTGGATTCTCGTATACAAGTCAAACTTGTTATAGTGAAGTGATCAGTTCCATTAATAAAAATTTTTTAAAAATTTATTATATTGAGAGTTTATTAGTAAATTCACTATATCGAGAGAATTTTATATAGACTGGCTTTGGGTCCAACTTCACTATATTGAGATTTTAATTAGTTTTCACTATATCGAGAGTTCACTATAATGAGAGTAACTTGTATTAATATTCAATGAATCACTAAAAAGGACTCTAAAAAAAAAAAAAAAAAAAATTCATTAATAGAATCTTCTGCACTTTCGCTAGACTCTGCATTTTACCTTTCTTCCAAGCTATCGGGGCTAAATCAGATGCTAGACCAAGCCAAGTGACCTGATATTATATCATACATAAAGGTAAATTGATAACTAATTTATTTAATTTGATTATTGGATAAATTGAATTATTTATCAGATTTTGAATACTATATTTAATTAATCTATGCTTTGGAGTTCATTCATTATTAATTTTTTTTCAATGAATAACCGAATTTAGTCTGTTGAAATATAGGTTTTTAAAATCATGAAATCTGAAATACCGATACTTGGAATTTTTATACTCGAGTTTGGACAGAAATTGAGATATCACCATCTCTAATGGATTAAGTAATACAATTATGGTATATTACCGAGAATAAGCAACAAAAAAATGAGACTTTTTAGGCCAAAGTAAAGAAGTTGCATAACCTTCAAATTTTTGGTCCAAAAATCTTTTGTTTATTTGCGGTTTAACATTACTTCTAGTCTAGGGTGCTCTCAGGCATCTCTTTCAATATAATTGGCTAGTTATAGAGAGAGATTGTGCACAGATATTACGATTAATTTAAGTAATTCTTACGGTAATTTTGAAGAAGTTATATGTTGCGAAATGGGAATATTAAATTTTAGCCAATTAGCAAAACTCTATGATAAAAAAAATGGTCTCTGACCATCTTTTTTTTCATTATTCGCTTAATCGAATAATTTATTTTCCACTAATTTTTGAGTGCACCTGCAATCTTAAGTTTTTTCGATTTCAACATTTTAGTACTTCAAAATACGTTTAATTACATTTTTCAATGCCGATAATTGTAGGACTACTTGTGCTTCTGGTTAGTCTGTAATTTTTTCTTTTTTTTCTTTACAAAAACATTGTTTGCTTATGTTCTTTATTTGTATAGAGCTCTATAGCCATACCGATTGGGATTAATATCATCTGTTCGTGCTCTATTGTTATTAACCAAAATGGTTCCTTTGAAGAAATTAGACCATATGAGTAAGCTTACAGTGACTAATATTGATCAAATATTCAATAAATAAATCTACTTGTAAGTGAGAGCGTCACTTATCAGTTTTAGTGCAAAAATTCGTGTTTACAAATCTTTAACATATACTTTTTATTTTATTAATTTTAGTCAACTTCAATTATACCATTGAATATAAATAAATTGTAATAAATAATGATTTATCGTTATATATTTTGTATTTTATTTCTTAAATTCAAATAATACATTATCGTATATCAATATATAATACACAAAATTTGTCTTTCGTAACAATTATAACATTGTAAAATCGTAAAGACTCGTTATGATCCCATAAATCGCATATCTTTTATTTTTTTCATCAAAATGTAAGGATCTAAAAAAAAAAAAAAACAAGTAAATCAAATGCCTTTGCTTTAACAAAACAGACAAATGTTAGTTTTTATTTAAGAAGAAATTTCGCATTTCAACAAGGCAAAGACTTGCAAAAAATGATTACTTATCGTTCAGTTTTTCACCCAGATCCCAATATTTCAAGATTTTATCTCGCAATTCAACAATGCTAAGATTTACAAAGAAATAAATTGTTAGTTCATATTCAGAACAAATAAAAAAAAGATCAAAACTAGAATGCGAGTGAAAACTCTTATACTTATCATTACTATCTCTCGCCTGGACGAATCATAAAAATTGTTAGTTATATTCAGGTAAAAAACAAAACCAG